TTCAAACCCCAGCCCTTCAAGTGGCATCTGTGTGGCCTTGGATAAGTTCCTCAGCCTCTCCAAGGCTGTACTGGTTCGATAATATTGGTGATACACACAATGTAGATGAGATTTTGTCTATAGTGTCTGGTACATAGTAGTTGTTCCATAAAGAGTAGTTGCTGTTTTTATGCCTTTACTTGGCAGTGGATAGAGGAGTCTTTGTTTTTAGTGCCACTGTATTAGCATCCATGTGTGCAATTACTAAATGTGTCAAAGCAGAATCGGCCTTAATACTTGACAGTGAACTAACCCTCAGAGCTGGCCATGGATGGTGGCACAGGCAGGTTGTTTGCGGTCACATACTTTCTGTGGAAGTCGTCCCGCAGAGACCGACAGGGCCCACTGGGAGACTGACACCACCTCCCAGCCTTCCACCGGGAGTGCCCAGTGCCACTCTCTAGAGTCATCCCCGGCACAGAGTATCCGTGTGGGTTCCTTTCATGGCCTCCTGCTGGAACTCACTCAGTGAGTTCCCGTGTGGTCTCCCTGCCTCTGCCCTCTCCTCCCTCCGTTATTCTTCCTTGACTCTTCCTGCCGTGCCATTCTGCAGCCAGGCTTCAGGACCTCCTTAAAGGAGCCAAGGCCCAGTGGCAGGGTTTCCAGTGTCCTTCAGGCTACCCGGTTTCTTTTCTCACCTCATCCTGGGAACCCCAGCCCAGCCAAACAGTGTCTACACAGCACAGCTGGGGGGTTCCTGTTCCTGCCCTTTGCCCTGAATGTGCTTTCTCTCCTTTTCTACTGGTTCTGCCCCTCCACGACACACGGCCTCCTTAAGAAGCCTCTCCTGCTGCACCTCCTGTTGTCCCTCACCTGTCCCACCTAGAGCAGGTGATTCCTCTTCCACACCCAGGGAATCATCACCTCTCCAAGTATGGTAGCACCCTGTCTGGTGTCTGTCACGCTGACGGCCGCTCCCTGGGCTTTCCGTCCCGGCCTTCCGCCAAACCTGCGCCCAGGAGGCGTCTACCCCGTGTTCACCACTCGAAGCCCGCCTGCTCTTCAGTCTCCTCTGGCGAAGCCTTCGGGCCTCACTCGACGGCATTCCAGGCCTCCACCTGCCCCAGCACCGCCCCCATGCCGCCCCCGGAGAAGTGCCTTTGAGCACACGTTCCCCAAAGGAGATTTATGTCTGTGTCCTCATACTCACTCCCCCAGGGTGATGCACAGCAGCTGTTCACTGTCTTTGGGGAAATCATTGGAAAATGGCAATTAAGCCACTCCTCGGGCTTCTCTTCTTCAGGATACTTGATCCCAGTCCCCTTGACCTTGTGGACCCAGGGCGTTCACCCTTCTGATCGCCACTGTTGCTCTTTCTCAGTCTTTGCCATACTCCGCCTTGTCCTCTGACCTCTCTTGCTGGGAAAGGTAGAGGCCTGTCTTCCGAGAGTGAAGCCACCACAAAGCTCAGCTGAGAAGGCAGCCTCGCTCCAGCTTTCTGAGGCTTGCTCGAAAGGTGGATGCCAAGAGCCTTGGCCCTGGGATTCCAGGCACAGAAGTGTCCCCCTCTGGCTGGAAAGGAAGCCAGTAAAGGACACTCTCCTGCCTGTGCCTGAGGAAACCTGATGTGTTTTACTTTCTCATGAAATGCGTAAGGCTGAAAGGTTAGAGCTTTTGTAATTCACAGTGAAGGCAAGACTGCTCAGTGGAAGGCCCATTCTCCTTTGACATGAAGGTGCCGTCCCCGCCATATCTGCCACTGCGCATGCTGCCGGAGAGGACAGCGCACTTGGTGGAGGGGCCGAGTTCCCACCCTCAGGCACGAGCCGCCCAGGGCTCTGAGCAGTTGGGAGGCCTCTGCCGTACTCCATGTTGCTACCCGGTTTCGAGGCAGGGGCCCTGTTCTTCTCTGACCTTCACGGTTGCTTCTCTCCAAGTGGTGAGTCAACCCATCTCCTCCTAGTGAATCAGTAATGTCCGTTAAGAGCATCTCCAGCCCCTCCTCAGCCAGGCAAGTCCAGGAAAGAACTTCACCTTGCTGAAGGTGCTCTTAGCTGACATCTCTCTTCAGGTCTCCCTGCCTCCGCCACACACAACACATGTGTATATATCTATGCATGTGCATGAGAGTGCACGTGTGCGCACGCACACACACACACACACTTCACTCTCACAGCACACAAGGGGACTTGGGCATTCACACTCTTTTTATTTTTTTGGAGTTGAAGTCTCACTCAGTCGCCCAGGCTGGGGTGTGTGGCAGGCTCTGCTACCGCAGCCTCAACCTGCTGGGCTTAGGCAATTCTTTTGCCTCAGCCTTCCAAGGAGCTGGAACTACAGGTGCGCGCCAACACGCCTGGCTAATTTTTTTGATTTATTGTAGAGATGAGGTCTCGCCTGCCCAGGCGGGTCTCGAACCCGCGGGCTCAGGCAATCCACTCACCTCAGCCTCCCAAAGGCGTGGGATTACAGGCTGAGCCCCTGAGCCCGGCTGCATTCACACTCTTAAGTGACAACGAGGAGGCAGTGGGAAGGCCTGGTGCTGGAGGCACCAGCCTTTCCTGTGAGGCATGTCCAGCCGCTCCACTGAGAGTGGGACACTGGAGAACCTAGAGGGGTCGTCATTGTCCCTCCGCCCACTTCTGTCTGCTCCCCCGTCTCTGCATTTTAGTCCCATGGAGCGACATCATTTTTCATATGAATTCAAACCTCATTCTCTGCATAAACCCTCTTTCCCTCCATGTATTTTTACCGTTATGAAATATCAATAGTTGCCTCCTTAAGCAAACTTTGTTTTGCCCTTGCCAGGGAAGACAAGATACCCCAGTGACTGGAGGGAGGGGAAAAAAGGAGAAAATCAGTCAGTTCCCTCTTCCCCCAACACCACGCATGAAGTGGGGTGTGCACTTGTATATTAGCTTTATATACCGTTAATATATGCATGTAAGAGCACCATTAAAAAGCAGCACCATTAGCATTCCACCTAACACTATCTTTCCACGACTTCTACAGTGCCAAAAGGGAAGGGGAGAGTATGTATATATAGTGACATAATTCTATATAATGTAGGATATAATGCATACAATGTTTAAAATTGCAGAGTTTAACAACTTGGAAATATCTTCCCAGGAAATGTGAATATTATCTTAAAAAGGAATATTTTCTCATGCATCTCCAGTGAAATGTGTCCTCATTCATTCAAATAAAAAGTGTCTATGGGGATCCTCTTTCATACCAGGAACTGTTCTAAGTGCTGGGATGAGATCTCAGAGGGCTTCGATCCAGTGAGGAGACAGGAAAAGTCAAGTAATCAAGTAACTCTCCATCACAAACTGTGATAGATGCCCTGATGCAGAGGACAGGCATCATGATGGGTATTAGAGGCACTGGGGAGGCCTTGCTTCCCGGAGGAAGTCAAGAAAAGTCTCTCTGTAAGAGACACCGGGTATGAGCAGGAGTTATCTTGAAGGGGGTGGCGAGGGGGTTTGTTTTAAACTATATTAGCCAAGGAAGATAGGAGGACACAACCAAAGGTGTGATAACCCTAAATTTATGAGGGGGGACCCCCAAAATGGAATTTATTCATTAAAAATTGTGTGTTTATTCTTACATGCTTAAACTTCAGTAACCTTCAGAGTACTCTCCATTTTTTACAATACGTGTTATCAAGCAAGACACTTTTTCCAGTGCTCAAAACAGTTTTTGAACTTGTCTATTTTGATGGCTTTTAGTGCTTCTACTGGTTTTTTGTTTCACCTCTTTCACACCGCAAACTGTTTCATCCGGGTCAACAAAAAAAGTCACTGGGAGCAAGATCGGGTGAATAGGGAGGATGGGACATGGGGTTTTTGCTGTTTGGGGTCAAAAACTGCTGAACACTTAGTGTGGTATGGGCAGGAACTTTGTCAGGCTGGAAGAACCAGTTACTGGTTTGCCGCAAGTCACAAATTGTGATGAGACCTTCTCAAAACTTCCAGATGAAAGCTGGTTGACCATTTCATCTGGAGGAACAAATTTCTAGTGTACTATAAGGGGCTTACCCTCGAAAAGATAATCAGGGGGCTTACTTTTGGGTCCCCCCATATTGGATACTTAGTACAGTGAGTTGCTTACATATGAACCTTCAAATTGTGAGCATTCAAAGATGTGAATGTGCATTCACATGCCCAATCACGTCAGTTAGTTCATGTGTATGGTGTACGTTGTCATGTGCTATACTGTAAGATTCAACATTTTTTTTGTATTTTTTGTTTTTTACGTATTATTTGTGTGAAAAGTATTATAAACCTATTACAGTACAGTACTATATAGGCTGTTGTGTTAGTTGGGTACCTAAGCTAACTTTCTTAGACTAACACAAATTGGACTTAATGAACGATCTCTTGGAAAGGAACTCGTTCATATGTTGGGGACTTACTGTCATTTGAAGGAGTGGTCAAGTCAGCAGGGCACGAAAGCCAAAGAATTCCAGCTGGCTTCAGAGCAGACCTAACTAGCAGTAGTAATAGTAAAAGCAGAACAGACCCTGCTTGAGCAGACAGCAGAAGCTGTACTCATTTCACATGTCTGGGCCCCTCTGTGACCTGGTTATGATTTGTATTGTCTTTGCCTGTTGTTGCCTGCTGTTTACGGTAAAGTGCAGAGTTTGTGTTGATGCACTAAATGCTGTAACATTCAGATTTCACTTGACTCAATTGCTGTCCATGTGGCAGTGATGCCTGATGTCTGGGGAACATGTTGTATCCTCCCCAAATTGTCTTTCCCAGCCAAAAAGTTCCTTTTAAAGCATCCATAGCACCTATTATGGTGTGCTTTGATCTTTCGATTTCATCATGCATGTTGCTGTTGATGGAGAGACGCTGTCCTGGTGTCACTGGGTTCCCTTTGCACTTTAGCCCAAAAAACATACTTCTGCAAGATCGATGTTGGGATGTGCCCAAGTAGTTAGAGAGAGACATTCTGTGTAATAAGTCCCATGCCACTTTCTAATCTTTTACTTTTTGTTGTTTTATTTCTAAAAGGCTGGAGTTGTCTGTTGAAAGCATCTGCCAAGACTGGCTCGAGTGTTCCGGAATACCAAAGGTACACCCAAGACAACGAATGTGGGAGAGTCTGCGGAGAACAGTAACGCTTGCTGCTTAGCATGTCGATCATGACAATGATTTTGTAATATATGTATGAAAAAGTAATTATCGTTCTGGGCTGGAGTATCTCCCCAACCCCATTTCAGCCTACCATCATCGGGGGGGGGGTGTGCCTCTGGCCACCGTTTCAAGTGACCATGGTGCTATAGGGGGACATGACAGTAGCTCCTGGACTGTGTGCTCAATGGGGTCTTGTAAAGCATGTGTATGTTTTGGATGGAGCCACCAGGCAGCAATTTAGTCCCCCCGTGGTGAGCAGCTGGCCCCCATCTCTGCCCCTTGGAGGTAACCAGACAAGTGAGCTGGTTTGCTGTAGCCTGTCAGCCCCGTCGCCCCTGTGGTTTCCAGCCCTCGTCTCTCCAGCTCACCTACCCTTGACTTCCTCTCCTGGTTCTGCGTCAGGCTCCTGCCTCGGGATGACCATCTGACCCGGAGGACCCGTTGAGATGTGTTTCTCTGTGGCTTGCCCCTGTTGGCAGATTTTCTTCTTTCCTCTCCTTTAGGTCCTTGTCACCTCTGAGGGAGAAGCCTTTTCCGGGTGAACCTGGCTCCATGGGAGTCACCTGGCCTGGAGCCTCCTCTCTCCTCCACTCCTCCCCAGGCCCTGTGCCTCCTCGTTGAGTTGGATGCTGGCCCTAGCGAGAGCCCAGGCCCTGGGAAGTCTGAGGGTGGCACCCCAGATGGGTGGTCCAAGGACCCTGCAGGACTGGAGCTTTCCCAGCCTGGGCCAGCCCCGAGGGCAGCTACAGATGGCGCCCGACCCATCCTAGTGGGCCTCAGAGTCCGGGGCTGGACCCCCATGGTGGGGAGCAGCTCTGCCTGGGCCCAGGCAAACAGCCCCTCTACCCGCGCGTTTCTTGTTTCATGGCTGGTTATACGAGCTTCCCCTCGGGAGTGTCTGAGTGTCAATGAATGTCTGTGAACCATGAAATGAAGGAACAGGAGGGGCTGTTCTCTATTACCTTTTCATCCCTTTACTCACATCTTGGTCCTTTTCCACCACACAGGGGGAAAATGTCGGCCATCAGCCACCATTAGTTCGCTCCTAAGAAAGGATACTTGCCTCTAGTTCAGGAGTGTGTGTCACCTGGTAAAAGTTATTTGTTTGACCCAATCCTTCTGGGAGCACAAAAGAATAAAATCCCGAGTCTTGCAAACAAAACTGAACAGGGGTGAGGCAGGGCAGCTGCTGCCCCCAGAAGGCAGTGCTTTCAGCTTGTGTATATTGGAATAAGGTCCTGTGGGTTCTAAGAAGGTGGCTCCCAAGCCAGACCACTCACCGAGTACAAAAGTCCAGGGAAAACAAGTTCAGGTTTGTCTGGTCGTGAATAGTCAAACTGTGCCCTTCGTATGCTCAATGGGATTGCAGGCAGGTGGGGGGACATTTGCTGAAGCCTTTTGCCTTGTGTTTCCTCAGCCAGGCTGTTGCAAGTCTCCCAGATTGTCTCAGTATGGCGTGGATGCTGGGAAGAGTTGGAGCTCAGAGAGCTGGCTCCCAGATTTCCCAGCCTGGAACAACAAGGCTGCTGTTTGCAGCCGTTCGCCCCTAGGGAATGGGAAAGAAAGAACCCTTAATCCCATGCCCAAAGCAGGCGCACCCCACTTGGGTCAGGGCTGACCCTCCCACTGCCAGGGGCTCTGTCATTTCCCCTGAAGAGAGGGCGGGCAGCTTTGCCACCAGCAGGAGGCTTTTGCTTTTCATAAAAGTGGGGGCCAGCAGGAGGGGTTTGCCTCTGAGCTGTGCCCTTTTTCCAAAGGTCTAGTTGCATTAGTGACCGCTTATAGCGTAGGCAGGAATCTCTGCTATAAACTGGCAAAACCTGCTGTCAAAACAGCCAGGTGCAATGAGGCCAGCTGGCTATAAATTGTCTTTAAGACCCAACTGGTATTTCCTTGGGTGCTTAACTGTTCAGTAAAAACAACAGCGTCAGACAGCAAAGATCCTGATTTAGTGCACGTCTTTCCACTGGTGAATGGTCAGATGGCATCTTTTCATCGTCTTCCTTTTTCTGCCATCATTGGTGTGGCTGCGCCTGGTTGAGCTGCTCTCAGCCTCTGTTCACTCTAGAGGGTTCTTTCTCGCCTCCCCTTCAGCAAAAGGCACTGCAAGGGCTCAAGACCCTCTGCGGTAGGAGCCTGGTGGTGAATGGAACACCTTGTTCTCTGTTCCCATCTCATAATATAAAGTTACTGGTATGCGTGCCCTGGAGTGACGATGAGGGCCCTGAAATTGCTCCAATGCTCTTTGTTTTCGCTCAGAATTTCTGTCCCCCAGCAATGGAAGTCGTTCATGACAAAAGAGTCACATTCTGCTGGTGAAGTTTTCATTCCACAGGTTACAGAGGCTTTTTGTCCTCTCTCAGGAAGGCTTGTCTGTGGTTGGCCTCAATTTTCCTTTTTGGCCACATTGAATGGAAATCATAAAAAAAAAAAAAAAAAAGTGGAAATAGCTTCAGCAGCAATAAAAGTGAGCGTGAGCCCCAAAGAAGCAAAAGAAATTGGATCCAAACCTCTTGAGAGAACACCCCCGCCTTGTAACCTTTGGCCTTGCAAAGAGATGTCAAATGTTTTGTGCCATCAGACTTATAGATTATTTCTTTGTATGACTTTTTTCAGTTATAGAAGTATTACACGTTTACTTTAAGATATAAAAGAATTTATAAATTAGAAAATAAAAATGACCCAGAGACAATTTTTTATATACATCCTTTCACTCGTGGTGCTGGGTATATAAGTACATATTTTACCCTTTCTTTCTCTTCTTTTTTGAAAGTAAAAGTAATATGCTCTCTCTAGCAAATTCAGAGAATATCAAAATGAAAAAGACCTTGCTTCCCAGTCTTACTCTCCAGAGATAACCCATGCCAGATAACAGTTTGGTGTGTGTCCTTCCACACATTCGGTGAGGAATAGCACGTAGCTGCATGCCCTGTGGCAACGAAATGGGAATCTTGTCTTTCAAAATTCAGTTTTTCATTGAAGAGTATGTGTTGGGTAGTTTCCCACATCCCTTAATATAATTCAAGAGCAATAATTTTAAACAGCTGCATCGCTTCCTAATGAATAAAACCATAATTGAATTTATTCAGCCCCCCTACTGTTGGAATAGCTGTGCAATTATTTTCTCAGAAAGTTGTACATTCTGCTAATTTGGCGGTTCTATAAATAGATTTCGATTGATTTTCATGTCTGCCCAAACAAAAGTCCCCCTGTGCCCCATATGCATATCTATTCAATCTCCTTTTAAAATATCTGTATGCAGATACACTAGAAATGTCTTCTTCATTCAGCCTTTCTTCTGTACTCCTGATTTTAGTTGCTACAGAACTCTCTGGCTCCTCCTCCCTTTCTTTGATTTCCTCCCTGCATTGCTATCTGGAGGTCCTTAGGTATACACTTTTCAAATTTCTGGGGGTTTTTTTGTTTGTTTTTTTTTCTTTCCTAGCACCTCCACCATTTTTCTCATTATCCTTTGCCTGGACTAGTGCAGGAGTTAATTGGTCTTTTGGCTACCAAGCTCTCTTTCCAGTCATCATTTAAATAGACGCCGAGTGAATATTCCCAAAACATAGCTCAGATCCATTCTTCTCACCAGACGTTTTCTCCATGACAAAGTCTTTGAAACAAACTCTGTGGCTTGCTATTCAAGGCTATCAGCAGTACTGCTAGGAGCCTCTCTTTTAAACTTTATTTCCCACCATTCCTGGGATACACCCGATCGTAACTGCCAGTCGACAAATGTTTGTGAGTTTTACCATCAGCCCTCCTTTGTACATGTTCTTTTCTCTCCTTGGAAGGCTTTCCTTTCTGTCCTTAGCGTGCCTCCTGACCTGCCTTATATTGTTTCTATTTATATATGTGTCTGATGTCATTCCCCACCCCCACCCTCAGTGGCAAGGGTCATGTCTTACTTGTCCTGCCGTGCCTTCTGTGATGCTTGTTTGTTTGGAGCCTTGCACGTAGTAGGTGCTCAGGGGCTCGCTGTCCAGCACGGTAGCCACACATGCTTGGGAAGCACTTGAAATATGTCTAGTGTGCCTGAGGGGCTGAATTTTTTATCTTAATTAAATTGAAATTTAAAACCTATAATTTTGTTACTGTTTCAAACAACTTGAGTATGTGGGTGAATCTACTTTTTCAGCTGTAAGTTTTATGAAATATATATATATAGACCAAGCATTTCAGATGAAAATTCAGCACCCAAATTGACATGCGAATACATATCAAATTTAAAAGACTTAGTGAAAAAAATTGAGGTAAATATTTTATTAATTTTTAAATGTTGAAATATGAAAGATAATATTTTGGATACATTGCAACCCAATGTATACACCCAATAAAATATATTATTAAAATTATCGTACCTGTAATTTCTTACTTTTAAAATGTGGCACCTGGAAAATTTTAAATGACATGTGTGACTTGTATATATTCCTATTGAACAGAGCTTCTGTCAAGGTATTAGTTGAATTAAAATCTGAGTTGGGTGCACGTGTAGTCCCAGCCATTCAGAAGGCTGAGGCAGGAGGGTCACTTAAGGCCAGGAGTTTGAGGCTCTAGTGAGTTTTGAACGTGCCACTGCACTCCAGCCTGGGTGACAGAGCAAGACCCCGACTCTAAAAAAAAAAATTTTTTTTAATTATTACAAAATAAATAAGATCTGAGCAAATAATACCTTAAAATCATCCACAGAATAGGAATACAAATTGAATTCATCTGTATTTCTGTCAAACGTGTGAGAAAAGATGGAGCTGGCTAATCTATAGACACCCTTCAATCTGCTGTGACAGCGCAGATGGTTATAATCCCCAGGTAAAGGGTGGGAGCGTTGGGCTCACAGCAGGCATTCCGAGGGCGTGAGCTAACTACCAACCTTGCCTGGCACCAGCTCTTAGTTTCAGCTCCCAGTAGACCCGTTTCCTGAAGTAGGAACAAACA